TGGTCCATGCGAGCTACATACATCTTTAATCTTTTTTGCCTTTCTTATAACTTCATTTTTCCACTACTACTACTACTGATACTGATATATATTTATTCTTTATAAAGCTTCCTTTCCTAATTAACTGTAATTATTTAATAATTTAAATATGGAATTATCTGTCAAGAAATATGTATTTTTAAGTTTCTTTATTATTATTAATTGAATTTGTTTATATTATTAAACTCAATTTGTTATTAGGCCTAAACTCATATATTTTTTTTTTCATTTATTTATTAAATAATTATATTTTGGACTGCTTTACTGTATTTCGTTTAGTTGTTTAAACATTTCTTCATTTCTTTAGTAATTGTATTTATAGTAATATTTTAAGAACTATTTATTGATTTCTAAGTTTATTTTAGTAATTCATTTTAATTTTTGAAGTAGTTTATTAACGGATTCATTCTTGCATTATAAATCAACAATTGATTAACTCACTTATTTAATTATTATTTATTCATTGTCAGTTTACTACATGTGTCTAAAAATCTATTTTTGCTGTATATTTCTTAGGTACCCAACTTCAGCTGAGTATTCAAGTATAGTGGAGCAACTACCCACAACAAATATCATCTGATACTCAAATGAGGAAGGTAGGCCTACAGTTTATTATTACTGTATGCATGCATTCTTAACACATTAGCACCTATAATTGTAATGTATTGTAGTCAATTTAACTCCCTAGAGATTTTTCTATGCTATATATGAAAGGAATTAGACTCTACTACAAATAAACTAATGTTTTTTTTATTGTTGAAAATGTTCCATTACAAGTTTTTATTTTGATGCATATTAAATAAGCGTTCCAGTGACACAAAATATTTTGACATTTGACTTTGAAATTGTGACCTTTGACTTTCATAGTTAACATTTCATCAAAAATTTGCAATTTTCTTTGAATTAATAATTATATAAATGATTTTGAATTTGCATACTTTACTAAATTTTATAATTATTTTATTGGGTGACATCAATTATCTGACCTTTGACTTTGATATATTGACCTTCAGCCTATTCAACTGACCTTTATTGGTTTTTACTCAAAAAAAATATTATCAGCATGTCCCTTTTCTAAATTTTGCATAAATAAAACCCTATAATTATGTAATATGATAGGGTGATAATAACTGATGTTTTTATGGCCTAATTCCCAAATTTCTATCAGTTTTATATACCATTTTTGGTCAAAACGCATTTTTTCAAATAGAAACCTCATTGGATGATGAGATATTCTGAAAAGGGATTTCCCAAAGTTTATGTAGACGTTTTTCGCGACACGCTACAGTTCGTATAACAGAAGTTATAGCGGGTTGAATAGCCAGGGCCGTTTAGGGCGGTCTCGGACTAATGCGCAGAGCGGTTTGAGCGTCCAGGTGCTAATGGGTTAAATTAGTTGTACATATTGCACATAGACTTGCACATATTGCACATAGACTCGCACATACAGTATTAGAATGCAGGATCCTCATTACATAAAGTCTCAGACACCTCTCTGACACACTGATAGAGATTGTTTTGAGCATGGAATCTATATTATGCCTAGTTCCAGATATACTGCTTGCATGACTGGTTTACCGAAGGTAGTTAGAATGTGGCAAATAAAATGATCTGTAGATAGTCGTAAGGAGTGTGTTCGGAAATACCTTGGTGTGAGGGTTGGTTAAAAGTAAAGGGGAAAATATTTTGGCGTAAATGGGGTAGAAGTGGGGATTGATTTGAATTTTGAATACAGTAAAGTACTGCATAATTTCATTGAATTTTGAAAATTAAAATTTCTTGTTGAATTTTTTTCTGAAAAAAAAAATTGTTAATCTTATCTTCGAATTTTTCAATGTTTTATTTTTTTACTTTATTTTTTTTGTTTACTCAACATTTTGGATTCTTTGTTTTGACATATCACGGTATTCTTAGAATTTTTTTATAGGAAGATCCAAGGGATTCACATGGGCATGGTGGTTGATTTTTAGCAAAAATCAGACCCAATTGCTTATTTTTGTTTTTATCATTTTTATACATCATTGGTGAATGATGAATAGGCCATCTCATAGCACTGAGGTCTGTTTGATGTTAGTGTATTCATATTGTTTTCTTAGTAGGCTATCCCTACCTACAGTAACTAGTTCAAGTAACCCCTTGGGTCACCAACCCTTTATTCCAATGTCTCTGTTTCAGGTCTTTAACATGTTTATATAATGTATTATCACCTAACTTTAATAGCGCTCTTAAAGACAATCTACCAATCTAAGTTGGCTTCTCTCCAAAGACTACTGTAGCCTTTTCTGTGGTATTTTAGGCCTGCAAAGAATATTCATATTCATAATATGAATTATGAACAGAGGTTTCTTTATTTTTTAGTATGGAACTGTTTCAAAATATAGTGTTGAATAAATAAATAACACAGAATTATTTGGAATTTAGAAATGTAATTTGGGATTGAATCTTATTCGGACATGTATAGACCACATCAAGTTTACTCCCTACCAGTGGTCAATTAGCAAGGTATATCTTTAACTAACACCACGTGCATAATGTTCATTTACAGTTTTCAATTACAAATTGAACACACCACTAAAGAATCCTTGGTTGAATGTTTTTTTTATGTGTATCTTTCATTGTGTTTGCTTATGGTCATGACAGTTACAGGAAGCAACACATTTGATAAATAATGCATATTTTAATGAACTTATATATTCTCTGTCTTTAAAAATCTAGTATATTATAAGTAGTAATATGTAGTAACCGGATTAGTAATGAACTAAATATGATTTGTATTTACTTTGCAGTTCCCCGCTGAATTTCAAATTATAAATGATTTGGAAAATGATGCTGTAGCCCCTATTGAAAGCTGGCATAGACAAGTACTGATCTGCATTAATATCACGGTACAGAAATCAGCGAACCAAAAACGTATAATGCAGCACTGATTTGAATAATTCTTTTAGAATAAGAGAAATTTGATAAGAAGGAAAACGGTGAGTTAGCAAGGAATTAACATTAACCATTAAACATAATATCTAATCATCCACGTTCCATTAAAGCTGTATTGTCCGATAAACTAAATGAAAAATTCTTCAAATATAAATGTTTGATTTAACAAACCCATTTTAATAATAAATGTCATGAACTTGAGACTATTTTAAAAATTGTTTTCTCTGAATTGTGGGCTGGTAATAACCAAACAATTCTAGAAACACTTCCAGTGTCTGTAATTCTTTATGAATTTTTGTGTATAAGAGACAGGTTTTATT